CCAGTCCCCACAACAGCTCTGTGAGGTGGGAATTAGGAAACTCCTTTGACAGGTGAGCAACTGAGTCTCGGGAAATTTAAGTGTCTTGCCCCAAAACAAACTGTCAGAACTATAAAGTGACTTAACTCCTCTGATACAAGTGTCCATTACCTTCCAGCAGTCTCTTTTTCTGGTTCTCAGAGCACTCCCTGAATCCAAGCCCTGAGCAGGTTGAGAGAGATATATAGAAACACCTGTTTATAAGATATGTGCCAAGCCCAGGGGTTTGCCTTTCACGTTCAGTCATGCTGATGATACCCTTGCTCTCATGCTTCTGAGCAGGAACGATGCAGGTACTATTACATCAATAGCTGAAGTGACACCCTGTGCACTATCTGCATTTTTAATGATTTGGTTATGTTTGTAGTTATATTCAGGAAGTCCAGTGTGTATCAAGGAAGCAATTTAAAAGGCAATAGAAAGGATTAATAACAGATGGTATTTTCCATTAGCTGAAAAGAATGATTCTGAGTTAAGGGGAATTTACTTAGGATCCTATAAAAGCAAACCCACCAACCCATCTTTCTTTCTTTTGTAACACAGAGAAGGGACTTGAAAGAATCACATAGCCTCCAGGAACCCTAGGCTTGTAAACATACAGAACCGCTGAACTAGCATACTACCATCATCTTTGCTGTCACATAAAAGATGCTCCTAGGATTTTTTTTTAATGTTCCACTGCTCTTCACAAAGACCAGACTTTTAAGTATAGTCCAGATGGTGATCGATGAACATAATATTTCTTTGTCCTTTCCCAAGACAGGGTAATTGTGCATCATGCATGACAGTCGGCAGTCATTTTTAATATTTAAATGATGTCTGAGTTGGAGATTAAAATTTATAAAGAGCAGTGAGATCCCAGAGAAAAGGATGGGAGGCCACTTTTTCTTTCAAATGCTATAAAAACAGATGGCCCTCCCATTCCAGACTTATGCATTAAAACATTTATGATTCTTTGTGACACTGGACGCCTACAGAAAGAACCCACTCCCCTCCCTCGACACACACACACTCTTATTTTGCATTAACTGATCATGAAGGTAATTTCAGAGGACAAAATTAAATTTTGTTTTTAAAAACCTAGAAAGCAAACTTAGGATCCAGCATGTTGAGTAAACAGTGAAATTAAATAATGATGGAGAAACACAGTAACAATCTTAAATGCAGGGAAATAATGACAACTACCATGATCATCATTACCCTGAAACATTCTCAAACACTGTACAAAGATGATCTAATTATTTCTGTGCACATCTCTCATGGGAAAGGTGTTATTATTTCCATCTTGAAGACAAATAGAATGTCTACTCTCAATTTGTAAGTGGTATTTTTTCTGAGAAGCTTTGTTTTCTTGTTCATCTTCAAAATAAGAGATTTAGACACCCCAAATTAAGTAATTTTATAGAGAATCAAAGGCAGCATAGTTCATGTTACTGTGAATGATTAAAATGTTTTGGAAAACATTTTAATCATATGCCCTGTGAAATTATAAAATGTTCACAAATATAGAAATTAGAAATGATCTGATCCAAAATAAATATAACTAGAAAATCTAGTGCTTTTTCTCAACTTTTCTGGGAATATGCACCCTTCCCAGACCTGGTTGGAATGGAGAGGGGGTAAGAGGAGAGGCTGGGAATGGAAATGTATTCATGTGGCATTCTTCTTCCTTCCTCCTTCAAATAAGCCCTGAAAGTTGCATCTCTCACAGGGAGCTACCTGGAGCTAAAGTGTAGGTAGAAAGAGAAGTTGGAAGAAAAGTGAAAAGGAAAAAAGAAGAAATGCATATGGAAACAAACAAAAAGAGTAGGCAATAGGAGCACTGAGTGGCTGTTCCTCCATTTCCCTGTCATGACATAGGAGGCTTCCAAAAGGCTGCTGCAGTTTGCTAGGGCTGCTGTAATAAATACCACAGACTGGGTGGTTTGAACAGCATAAATTTCTTTTCTGGCAGTTCTGGGAGCGAAAATCTGAGATCAAGGTGTTGGCAGGTTTGGTTTCTCCCGAGGCCAGTCTCCTCGGCTTGTAAATGTCTGCTTTCTCACGTGGTCTTTCCTCTGTGCACGCACATCCCTGGTGTCTCTCTGCACATCACAATTTCCTCTTATTATAAGGACACCAGTCATATTGGATTAGAACTCACCCTAATGGCTCCATTTTCACTTAATTAGCTTTTTAAATGCCCTATTTCCAAATACAGTCACATTCTGAGGTGCTGGCAGTTAGAGCTTTAACATATAAATTTTGGGGAGACACACTGCAGCCCATACCAGGTATTTTTATTAAAAGGTATCTTGTGCTTCTGGGCAAAGTTGATATAACATGTAATAACCCTACTGCGTGAACAGTGGAGGGAAGGATCAGCAATGCATTTTCACTCACAAACATTTTGATGAGCTGACCTGACTCAAGCTCCTCACTGGGGAGTTCTCCAAAGGCAATTCCACTCATCTACAAGGGCTTATCCTAGCAGTTTATCTAAAGCCTGAAAGATAAGGCTGCTTTCTTCAGACCCCCAAAGCATAATCGTATAATAATTCCAACCATGTGCTCACAGAAGAGCAGGCCATTGCCTCTTCTCTTTTCCTGTAAAACGACAGAAAACAAATCCAGACATCTCTCTTATTTGTTTTATGAGAGGTGTTTTCCTCTCAAATCTCTTGTGCTTTCAGAGGGTTTTCTCAATTGTGATCTGCACCCGATGGCTTCCCCACTACAGAGTGTCTCATGAAGAACACACACCTGTGCTCCATGCTTACCACCTCAGGTCACAGGGTTCAGCTGGAAAATTGCAGCCCCGCCTACTGCCAGCTAGTCTAGTGGGACCAAGCAGAGTGCTGATGACAAGGTTGAAGCGAGTGAACAAAGACTTCGAGGACATGTTCTTCTTTCCAAAATGGCCACATAACACATGTATTTGCCACGTAACACTTCAGGAAAAGTTGACATTCAATACCCTAATTTGAAACATGTCAATGGGCATTATTTTCACATTATAAGTGAAATCTCCATCTTGGAATACTATTATTGATTTCCTGGTTCCTTTGTGCATTTCTCTCTCTCTCTCTCTCTCTCTCTCTTTTTTTTTTTTTTTTTTTTTTTTTTTGAGACTGAGTCTTGCTCTGTTGCCAGGCTAGAGTGCAGTGGTGTGATCTTGGCTCACTGCAACATCCGACTCCCTGCTTCAAGTGAGTCTCCTGCCTCAGCCTCCCTAGTAACTAGGATTACAGGCAAGTGCCACCATGCCCAGCTAATTGTATTTTTAGTAGAGACAGGATTTCACCATGTTGGCCAGGATGGTCTCGATCTCCTGACCTTGTGATCTACCTACCTCAGCCTCCCAAAGTGCTGGGATTACAGGTGTGGGCCACTGCACCTGGCCGCATTTCTTTGTACACTGATAGTATGACTTAATTGGCAAAATTGTGTATGTATGTATGTGTGTGTATATATATATATATGCACACATAGGTTGGAGTATATATATACTATGGTACATAGTATATGGGCCACTGCACCCGGTCGCATTTCTTTGTACACTGATGGTCTTAATTGGCAAATTTGTGTATGTATGTATGTGTGTGTGTGTGTGTGTGTGTGTGTGTATATATGCACACATAGGTTGCAGTGAGTATATATATACTATCGTACATAGTATATGTGTATCATATATATATATATACACCCACATGTGCTATATATATACACACACACACACTATGTACCACCCACACATGCTATATATATACATATATATATATACACTATGTACCATATATAGTATAGATATACTATATATACTAAATATACTGTACATATAATGTAATTGCATAGTAATATAAAGTCAATAGAAATTTCTGCATTCCTTCCTTTAACATGAAATTAACCATCTTAGTTTAGATGCTGGAGATGGTACCAAATACCAGGGACACAAAGATGCATGAATTCCTGCCCTTGAAGGGTTCTTCAGTTAACTGGAAAAGAGAGGAACATGAACATGTACAATTCAGAAAAGCAGTTCTCAAACTTGAACATGCATAAATGTCACATGGAGGGCTTGTTCAAGCCCAGCTTGCTGTCCACCCCCTCCCCAGTTTCTGATTCAGTGGGGCTGAGAATTTGAATTTATAACAAGTTCTCTGTGCCACCTGCTCAGGAAGCACACTCTGAGAACAACTGATCCAGAGTTACAAGTGCTGGGAGGCTCCTCTGAGCAGGAGATCCCAGCGTGGGTTTGGGGGCAGTCGGAGAGCGCATCACAGAGGAAGCGAGTCTTAAAGGACAGGCGAGGAAGGATTAGAATGGAGCAATTAAGATATGCCAAGCACATCTAGTTCTAAAGGACGAAAGTAGGAGAAAGTGTATCTGGTTTGGAAAAATGCAAATAATTTCATTTCCTGGCATATAATTATTTGGCAAGTAATTCCAAGGCTTTAGTTTGAAATAGTTGCTGGAGAAATGGGCAAGGCCCAGAGCCATGATTAACGGCCCTGTTTGAACATTATCCTGTAGGTGATTATATAACCCAGAGTTGGACTTCAAGTTGGAAGAAAAGAACCCTGGTAGAACTCCATCTACACTTATCTTTCTTCTAAAGAGGGTTCTTTCTCAGCCCGACACAGGGCTTTCCAGCCTTTTAAAAGAAATCATTTTCATTTCTCTGAAGTGACAAGTCTCACTGGATTGTGAAAGTAGAAAGAGTGTGTTGATTGCATGAAAGCAGAACTGGGTAGGTGTTAAGTTGTTGCCATTGACCAATGAGCCACAGGTAAGAGGCATTTCAGTGTCTTAATTAATTAGTTAATTATGATTAACTCTTGGAAAACGCTAAACTTCACCCACCTCTCATGGCCTCCTGTCACATAGAGTGGACGACTAACAGGCCTAGACAGGAAAGATTGAGAGAGGAAGACCTGGTAGCCTAGGTTGTGACGAAATGTGCTTTTTTCTCTTCTCTCTAGGGGAAGATGATGATGATGATGAATGTGGGGAAGAAAAGCTGCCCTCCTGTTTTGATTATGTGATGCACTTTCTGACTGTGTTCTGGAAGGTCCTCTTTGCCTTCGTTCCTCCTACTGAATACTGGAATGGCTGGGCGTGTTTCATTGTTTCCATCCTCATGATTGGCCTACTGACAGCTTTCATCGGAGACCTGGCTTCCCACTTTGGCTGCACCATTGGCCTGAAAGATTCTGTGACTGCAGTTGTGTTCGTCGCACTTGGGACATCAGTGCCAGGTAGAAATTACAGTCATGTATAATTCCCCGAATAGCAGAAGTTCATTTGCCTTATTTGATGCTTTCTTTCGTACAGTGTCAAGGGCCATGATAACAAACCAAGATCTATGAAGGATGAGAGTCCAGAGGTATAAATAATGTCACTATCGGAACACTGTCATGGCCCTTCTCAAAGTTCAAAAGCCGGTCAGTGTCACTGCAATGACAAGAAAGCATTCTCAGATCCCCAAAGGGTCTCCATGGCTCTCCAAGAGAGCAGATCAGTTTGCTGGAGAGATTTTCAGATCAGCTTCCCATTACAATGAGAATGTTTGAATGGTCTCTATGAGACTGTGTTTATTTAGGTAAGGGGGAAAACATACTTACTGGAGACCTGATAAAATATTCTCTTGACCCAATTATTAATGAGAGGAAAGGGAAAATAGACATTGATCAAGACAGGTGACAAAAGTGTACAGGCCAAATGTGTATTTCATGAACATCCCTCCATGCATTCCTTACAAGCTGATTTTTTTCTTCCAGCCTACAACGATAGTTTATTATGTTTATTCAGATTTCCTAGTAAGGTGTCATCCCCTCAAATAACACTGATAGCAATAATTCTCAAACTTTGGTGGGCTTCAGAGAGCTTGTTAAAAAATATAAATGCCTGAGAACCATCACCAATCTATGAAAGATCTAGGAGTGATAGGGCCCAGGAATGTGGGTTGTAACGCTCAAGTGACTCTGGTACACACCAGAGTGTATTGTAACTGAAACTCTGGAGCTACTCTCCAGCACCAGATAAATAGACTTTACTTTCAGCAACAATACTCACATTCTTAACCAAATACGAGGCCAAGGACAAGCATTAAAGTAGGCTTGGAAAAAGTCAGGACTAGAAGCAAATACAACTGTGCTAATGATGCTACTCATTGTCCACTTTCTGTATTTTCCACAGTCCTGATACAGGCACTATGATTTCTACTAAAATTTGCTATCGTTTGCAAGCCTGACTTTTGGGTTGAGTCCGAAAACAACTACAGTTTAAATCATGTATTTCTTTCTATTCATCCGTTATTCTTTTTCTTTATAAATAGATCAATATATTGATCTATCAATCCTTAGATAAATAGATTCTTCTATTTATTACCTCAGTGACTGTGGCCAAGTTAGTTAACCTCTCTGAGACACAGTTTCCTCATATGCAAAATAGGGATAATTATACTTAACTTGCAGAATAATGGTCAAGATTAGAGAAACTATCTACAAATTATGCATGCAGTAATGTACCTGGGACATAGAAAAATTTTAATGTATTTCTGGTGATTATTGTTTATATTGAATAATTCAGTATGATCTGAACAGTATAAATCTGGACGCTTCAGTCACTACCCTGATAACCATGGATGAAGTGTTCAGGTTGATACGGGTCAGCCATAAGGCATGGTGTTGTACAACTGATTGAATGACTGAAGGTTCTGATTAAAGCCTCCACGTGCTTCTGGCATCCAACTGAGGGAACAGAGGATCTAGGAGACCTAGAGGATTCTCTTACTTTCACCTTAGCAAGGAGGGCTGTTTGAAGTCATTCAGTTGACTATTGATCCTTAGAGGAGAGCAGACTCCCTCTCAATCCCAACTATGATCCAGAAGTTCCACATTGGTTCTTTACTTTGCATTGTTTCCCAGAATGATCAGAAATTTACCAAGCAGAAGGAAAAACCTAAAATATTCTTAAAGTATTTTGATTAATGACTATATATAAAACCAAAGGAAGAAACATTGTGGTTTTCCACTGCTTTTATCTGAGCTAATTATAGGGAAAGATGTTGGAGTACATTTTCCTACCGTTTAAGTCATTGCATCATATGGTGTCCAAGTTAGCACACACTGTTGGCCATGGGTTTAGTCCCTGAGGAGAATGTGTGCACGTTATGATCATAAAGGCAAAAGTTAGGTCTCTTATAACAATTGTTCAAAATCAGCGGTTGGTCCAACCAAATGCATGTCTTGTCTTTGAAAGTATAAAAAAATGCTTTTTCTATCTGAAATCCTTGCTCCTGAAAATGCTTTTTTATTTCCCAATACCTCTTCTCCAATACCCTCTAGCTGGCTCCTTTTTCCAGATGTCACTTTTCCAAAAGGCCTCTGTGTATCTCTTATTTTAATAAATTCTTGAAAAGTGTGGCAGCCTTATGATTAAAATTTATTTTTTGTATCATATGAATGATGGTTTACAGCAAACCTTAATGTTTAGAGGAGTCACTTGTTCTGCCACTTCAAACTCAGAACCCAGGGGGAGACATCAAGAGGTAAGAAAATCTGTTTGGGGAAAATACAACAGAATCATTTGTTGTTGAAAGTTTCCCTAAACTGCCATAAATGCTTTCCATCAAGACACAGATTTCTTTGCTCTGTTATTGAGAGAATTCCATAATTTGCTGCAATATTGCAATATTAACTGTGCAGCAAGCTCCTCAAAGAATACATTCAGCTGTAATCTCAGATAATCGTATCTATATAAACAGACATTTTTTCCAAAAACTGTAAAAATTGAACAGGCTGTCAGATGAACATTATATTTTGGCCCGTATTTTTCAACCCTGCTGATTCAGAGCAATGTTTTATTTTATGTCCTGACTCCAAAGAAAAATGATGCTATTGTTTCTAGATGACAAAGCCTAGTTGCTACAGGCAGAAGAATAAAGAAACTAATTCCTTTCACTCATAGCCTACTATTTAATCAGCAGCAGTCCTGGGGCCCAGCGTTTTCTCTAGGCTGATGGCACTTTTCTCTTGGCACTTTTCCTAAAGCAGAAGGGCCCCTTCCTAATGTCTGATATTCTGCTGCTTCTTTCTAGGTTAGATTTTCAGATTCTTAGATTCTGATGGCCAGACGGACATTGAAAACTTTCCTGTTAGTCCTCCTGCCTCAAGGCAGGATTTAATATCTACATATCTCATTAAAACTGTTTTTAACCATACTATTCAAAATGTAAGGGGAAAAGCTTATGAATTTTCAAGTGAGACAAAGCTTCTTCCTTGTGCCGGCTGGTAGCAAATATTCAATCTCCTGGCAGATAAGGATTCGCAAAGGTCTTCACTCACCCTCAATGTTAGACATTTCTGCAAGAGCTTGAAGACCCGTGCCTGTGAGTAAAGAAAGGACCTCCTCTTCTGAATCACCATTTTTCAGACATAGCTATCTGAGGAAGGGGGTTCTTAAACAGCCTCTTCCATCCTTTAACTGTTGGAGTAAGCCCGAGATGGATCTCCAGCCTTCTTCTCTTCTTTGTCTATGTTCACTTCTTGGATATCAGTCGCCATGGTGTCAACGACATCTATATGCCAATGACTGCCAAATGTGTATCTCCAGCCTCAATTTTCCCCAATATAGGGAAGGCAGCTGGTAAAAGAATCCCCTAAGGACCGGATTTATATACCAGCTGCCTTCCCTATATTGATGCTAGATGTATAATTTGGAGCTCAGAATTACTATATCTAAAACAGAACTGTTTCTACTGCCCAATGGACTTATTCTTTAACCAAACCTATTCTTTCCAGATTTTGACTTTCTTAGGAGAAAAAGTCACCATCCATCCAGGTATCCTTAATTCCTTTTCCACTTCTCCATGGTCAAAGGTCCTGCAGACCTTTCCAATTTTTTACTTTTTAATTTTATTCATATATTTTCTGAGACAGAGCCTCACTCTGTCGCCCAGTCTAAAGTGCAGTGGTGTGATCTCGGCTCACTGCCTCCTCTGCCTCTCGGGTTCAAGCAATTCTCCTGTGTCAGCCTCCTGAGTAGCTGGGACTACAGGGGCATGACACCATGCCTGGCTAATTTTTGTATTTTTAGTAGATATAGGGCTTTACCATACTGGTCAGGCTGGTCTCAAACTCCTGACTGTAGGTGATCCACTCATCTCAGCCTTTCAAAGTGCTGGGATTATAGGCGTGAGCCACAGCGCCCGGCTGACCTTTCCTTTAAAGTGTGTCTTGATCAAGCTCACCTAGCTATCTCTCTACCACCACCATCCTAGTCTACACAGCTGTCCTGCTTAGATCTCTACAGTGCCTTGTATCTGTCTCCCTGCTTCTGGTAGAGATCATTTTAAGCAGTAAATCAGGCCACACTACTGTTCACAATCTTCCAGTGGCTTCTTATTTAACTTAGGGTAAACTCTGAAAAGCATTACTCTGTCTCACAAAGACCAATGTGATTTGGCCTGTGCCCATCTTTCCACTCCGTTCTCCTCCTTGCCTGCTGTTCTTTGGGCCCACAGGCCTTTTTTCCTATCCATATACCAAGCTCATTCCTTTCTTTGAATTGCACTAGCTGTCTCATATCCCCTTCATTTACACAAGACTGGCTCTTTGTCTTCAATTACATCTTGTCTTAAATGATACCTTTAAAGAGGCCTTTTATAATCACCAAATGTGAAGTAGTCAACCAGTCTTCTATATTATCTCACTCTATTTTCTGTATTTATTTGTGAATGTTATTATTGTCTAACTCTGTCCACTAAAATTTAAGCTTCATGGGAAGAAAAGCCTTGTTCTTTTTTTCCCTAGCTCCTAGAGTGGTTCCTAGCTAACACAGAAGTAATACAATTGTGTGGCTGTATGTGGGTTGTATGTATAAATGTGCAAGTCAGTCATTTACACATTAGTATGAGTTGGTTCAGTCAGATTGCATTTTTCCTAATGTCTTCTAGAGACAGCTAATAATTGAAGTCATTAGGGAGGTAAATAGATTTTAGTGTCACTTATTCTTGAAGAATAGGACACATCTGAGAAGGTTATGGTAGTAAGAATGGACAACAGTAAACAAGAGCGCTGAGGACTTCAGAACAGGAATATCTTCCTCTTTCCTAACTTTGGCTATGTGGGAACTGTGATGAGAAGCAAGATAAATTTTGGTCTTTTCTTCACTTTTTCTCTTGTATGATCCCTTCTTCCAAGACCCAGACCTCAAGCCAATACTTTTCAAGCTTTAGGTATATTCTGGAGGGCTG